TCTCCTATTAAAAAAAAAGTTGTACCGCCTCCACGTTTCAGCTCTGCCCCTGACTTCCTCCTCGGTACAGCACCTGCAGCACTTTTCAGGGCAGAACGACACTCTGTCATTAAACCCATTTGCTGTGAGTCCAGTTTTCCATTAAGGGCCCATTCACACCAGGGCCGTGCTTTAATTGAACAGTACTGGGCAACACGCCTACTGTGCATTACAGAGCAGCAGGTGCGTGCAGTGCCATTTATTTAAATGGCACCCCAAACGCACCTCCTGGCCACAATACACTCAACTGCATCAGAACACGTGGTACCGTGATACCATGTGTTGCAGTGCTGCTGAAAAAAGTAGTGGCACATGACCATGCGAACGGGCCCTTACGCCCCCCCCTCCATGGACTACATCATGTGAGCGCCACTCAGTCCTGGAAGAATGCACACCCCCTGCCACTGGAGGAAGAGGAGAGAGTCCTGGTGGCACCATCAACTTGATAGAATACTGCTGGAAAAAAGGTAGATAGAGGGGTTAAAAAAAATAATAAAAAATACAATGGGGGCTTAAGGGGGTGGCAGGTGGGGAGGGGAGTAACTTGACTGGAGTTCTGTTTTAAATAATATGCAAGTTTCACAAATACATTGCTTTCCTATATGTTCTGGTATTCATTGTGTTTCTGTGTGTGTGTGTGTATATCTGTCTGTCTGTGTATATACTGTACATATATGTATTCTTGTAGTGTGATGAAGTGGGGTTTCATAGAACCTCTGATCCCTCCTTGATCTTTTATTGCTGTTTAAAAGGACATTCCCCCTCACTTCGTGTTTGGACACTCATAAAATACACAATTAGAAGATTTTCTCTTACTTTCTGTTCTGTCTGATACCCATCACTTCAATGTGGAGAAATCTTTCAGGGCCTATTCACCTATTCACACTAAAGTGATCTGTTGTGGTGTACATGTTTTCACATGTATAAACATGCAGCAACAATGCACAGTTTGTGTGCTGTGGAGCATTGTGAGTTGCACCATACACTGCACTGGGGTGCCATTCACAAAAAAGCACAAATAGAGCAGGTGTGTTGGCATACATTTTGGCATTTTCTGTTATGCACAGTGAATGGGTCCTCGCACTGAGACACAGACAACAATAAAAAAAAATGACAGATGTTCTAACCCTCCCTTACATCTAAATCTAAAAAAGAGTTTGGGCTGAAGTTGGGCTTTTTTGTTTGTTTGTAAGGATCCATAACCGGATTCAATAGCATCCTTTTATATCTGTCTGCACTGCAACTTTAAACCTTTCTGATAATCTGGTTTCTTTCTTTTAGGAAGTTTTAATGAGAAGTGTTATTAGTTGTTTGGTTGCATTACGTATTAGGGTTTGGATTAGTCCAGGCTTTGTAAAAATCCAGGGCTCTGCCACACCAAATTGGTATTTACTGGTTTCATCTTTTCCTGATTCCTCCGAGGTTAATTGCATCATTAGATCTTGCCCGTGAGACACAGCATAGGGAACTATTTTCCATCCACTATATAACATCCTGAAACCTATAAACATAGATCTTACAGACACATCCTATCAACCTGTGTTGTTACCATGAAGAAACTATGTATGGTAACACATTCTACTTGCCTGCCTGTCTGAGAGCTGACAAAGGTAATAAGGAATATTACTAAAGTTTTGCAGCAATCAATACAAAATTGTAATCATGGTCCCATGTTATCACATTCTTAATCATGTCATAAAAAAAAAACCAAGAGCAGAAAGGTATTTTCTGTCCTTTTATAATTGCATTTATTTAATTTTAATCAAATGCAGTAAAATATTAATGCCGCATCACTGCTGCTATAAAATGACAAGATTGATTCTAGACTTGTTAAGCAGCATGCATAAAAAGTAACACCCTGAATCAATATGTGGGGTGTTTTTAATCTGCTGGATTAATCTGCAGAGTGATGTCTGGTTTAAATTGTATGTAAACCGCAACAATGAACTTCTCTCATGGCTCCCTTTTGGGCAGTTGAATATACGATTGAAAGGTTTTTATTATATCTGTTCGATAGGTTGATTTTACTGGAAATCTTGTCAGCTGATAAGTTCCTGTGATCAATAGACAATAGTTAAAATAGTCAAATGACAATAGAAGTGGCTTATTTTCCAGTAAGAAACTCTTTGGATAGGGACATGTGTGGGTGCTTGATGCCATAGGGATTATTCTCCAAGTCAAAAAGTTCAGGGCTCCAGTGTAAAGTAATCCCTATTATTATAATGCTGTTCACATCCCTGCAGTCTCTTGCTGCACATTTTCTTAAACCTCTGCACTATTATCTATAATGACACAGATCTCATTGTGCATTTTGTCTGCAGTTTAACAGGCATTTAATTGCTCCAAAAAAGTGTGAGCAGGGCCTTAGACAGTACTTCTAGTTGTAGACAGACCTCATAAGAATACATAGATGGTACAATTTTTATGGGCTTACCTTAGCACAATCCCAGACAACCGCCAGTTATACCCTTTTGATTGCTAACATACTAAAGTACAAAATAAAGGGGATTCAGTTGTGCATGCGCAGTGCTTGTAACCAACCTCTGTGTCGCCTAAACCATTTGTTAAGCAGGCAGACTAGGATGCATTTTAAAACACAGCTTTTATTTTGGCTAAATATGTAAGCTATAGAGCCCTTGTGTCTGTTGAGTCCTACGCCAACCCTTCAGTTGGCTTCAATATTTTCTGATTACTGACCAAATCGAAGTATGCAAATTCGATTCTAAGTGGAGGTGGGAGTGAAGTGCTGGACCCAGATCCTAAGCTGGTAGGTAAGAGGTCTTTGTTTAGGCCCAATGACCTTGGTTCAGCAGCTACCCACAAAACCATGTTTTTCTATATTGTAGGAGTCACCCGCCTTGGGAAATCTATGTGTAGTCAGGCCAACTCAACTGCACATGCAAATTATGACGTCAGACTGACGTAAAAATTGCTGATGTGCTTACACGTGATAGACTGGTACCAGAAAAAGTAGTGAAGCCACTGGATTAATGGGACAGATAATTATAATGTTTAGAAGGTGAACATTTGCAATGGCAGCTTCCATATTCTTTTAGTACAAGTTTCCTTCGATCCGTTGATGTCAGATGTTAAAGTGCTGCTCCCTGCATAGTTATACTATAAGTGCAGGGCACTGTAGTGATGCCCCAAACTGTCTCATCCATGTCTTTATGGACTTTGCTTTGTGCACTGGTGCGCAGTCATGTTGGAACAGGAAGGGGCCATCCCCAAACTGTTCCCACAAAGTTGGGAGCATGAAAATGTCTTGGTATGCTGATGCCTTGAGTGTTCCCTTCACTGGAACTAAGGGGCCAAGCCCAATCCCTGAAAAACAACCCCACACCATAATCCCCCCTCCACCAAATTTTACACTTGGCACAATGCAGTCAGGCAAGTACCGTTCTCCTGGCAACCGCCAAACCCAGACACATCCATCGGATTGCCAGACAGAGAAGCGTGACTCATCACTCCAGAGAACACGTCTCCACTTCTCTAGAGTCCAGTGGCGCCGTGCTTTACACCACTGCATCCGACGCTTTGCATTGCACTTGGTGATGTAAGGCTTGGATGCAGCTGCTCGGCCATGGAAACCCATTCCATGAAGCTCTAGGCGCTTGATTTTATACACCTGTGGCCATGGAGGTGATTGGAACACCTGAATCCAATGATTTGGAGGAGTGTCCCAATACTTTTAGCAATATAGTTTATGTTTGGAACACAGACACAGAACACAGACGAGCACTGCAGTGTTCATTATGAAATCAGGAATATCAGTCAGATAGAGAATTACTGTTTCCTTGGAAATCTAGTTAAAAAAACCCCCTTAAAACTAACATCAATGGAAAGAGGCTTTAGGTGGTGGCTCTGCTGGCTGGTCTTAATGATCATATCTTGACCTCCCTGTCAGACAACAATGCTTGAATCATTACATATAGGTGCCATGGATCTTAGTGAGGCGTCTTTCTAACCGATAAGGTAACTTTAAAGGGAAACTATGGGGACTGTGAAATGCACTCCTCCCCATAGTTAGAGCTGGCATGTGACACTGCAGTTGTCATGTGCTGTGTGGATTCATCTTTGCCAGGACAGAGAAGAAGCTGCACATTGGCTTGCACGTCAAATTACTAAGTGAAGAAATTGCAGTAAGAAAAACAACATGTTTGTTACACTTAACATTAGATAGTGAACAACCACCTGACTGCACCAGCAACTTACACCAGTGTAACTTTTAGTCTGTGTGACCGCATTAGGTTTGAAGCGGCAACTCAATAAAGCAATTTTGTTATATCATTCAAACTGGTGTCACAATAATGTCTTTAAAATTATGAAAGCTGAACCCGAGGAAAAGAATACTCTTGCAGTGAGCCCCCCCCCACACACA